GTCAGGCTCACAGTATGCGTCACTCTTTAGCGTCTGATACAAAGCGGCGGAGAGAGGGTTGTTCCATCGCTGTGCTATTGTGTTTGTGTGCTGCTATATGCTGTGTCACAGAGCAGACAGGCCTCGGCCTCTTTCATTCAACATCCGGCACCTTCCACCAGGTTTGAGGTGTGGATGTGTTTATTTGTGCTTTAGAACGTAACCGCTGTGAAACAATCATAAAACTGTAAAATGAACAGTGACTCAAAAAATACAATGCATCTTCTAAGCAATATTTCTGTACTTTCTATCTATAAATTAAAAACGAACCCCCTAATTATGTACATCTTTCTGCACATACTGCTGGCTTCTAATCAGAGACCTCTGACTGTTGTAGGACGTGTGTGCGTCCAGTAGTGGTCTATGGTGGAGTCAGCACTAGTCACCAAATAAGAGACATCTTCAGGGGGTGCAATGTGCTGTGTGGAACACCAGGGAGACTGTTGGATGTGATTGGAAGAGGAAGGGTAAATGCATTCAGTATTTTCAGTCATACAGTCATTAGTTGAAAGCTTTCACTGTAACTGGATGGTGTTTGTGCTCCAGGTTGGGTTGACTAAGCTGCGGTACTTGGTCATGGATGAGGCTGACCGGATGTTGGATATGGGTTTTGAGCCCGACATGCGCCGCTTGGTGGGCTCCCCTGGATTGCCATCCAAAGAGAACCGTCAGACTCTGATGTTCAGTGCCACCTACCCTGAGGACATCCAAAGGTCTGCACCTTCATCAGCCACATCTTGTACTGTAGAAGTGAGCTTGGCATGCATCAATACGGTCGTGTGTTTTTGCAGGTTGGCGGCTGACTTCCTCAAGACTGACTATTTGTTCTTGGCTGTGGGTGTGGTGGGCGGAGCCTGCAGCGATGTGGAGCAGAAGTTTATCCAAGTCACCAAGTTCTCCAAGAGGGAGCAGCTCGTTGACATTCTCAAGACCACAGGTACGGTCTTTTGTAGCTATTTTACCAGCCTCCAAATATTAGCAAGGACAATGTATCAATGAATACTTGGAATCCAGTCAGCTAAAACTAGACTAGGATTACTTGCAGCAGATCCATATAAAAATCTACTCTATAAAGGTGGCATTGCTACATAGCATTATGTAGCTTTTAACCACAGAGCACTCTGCAGCTCTTGTAGGACCGAATATGTAACATGAGCTGGTGTTTGTCTTACAATCTTCATTTAGATGTTTTTGCAATGCTTCAAACCTCCATTCTCTCTAATGACCACCAGGGGGCGACTCCTCTGGTTGTTTAGAAGTCTGAGAAAATGACTACTTCTCGATTTATTACCTCAGTAAACATTGTAAACATGAGTTTATGGTCTCAATCTCTAGTTTCAAGTCTTCTTCAATACAGCATGATTATTTTATTAAGTTATGGTCCATTTTGAGTCAAATAGACTATAAAGCAGGGTATGCTTTAGGGGGGGCTACACAGTGATTGACAGGTCTCTACCAGAGACGAACCCAGAGCTTACAACCTACAGTCCACAAACAATGGGTGACATCACGACGACTGCGTCCACTTCTTATCCGTCTGTTTTTTGCAGGAACGGAGCGCACAATGGTCTTTGTGGAGACCAAGAGACAAGCGGATTTCATTGCCGCATTCTTGTGCCAGCAGAAGGTTCCGACTACCAGCATTCATGGGTAAGTGATGTGTCAGTAATGTATTTACAGGAAGTAATGAGTAATCTGTACATCTGAATGCGGTTAGACCTATGTTGTGTTGTCTCACAGTGACCGTGAGCAGCGGGAGCGAGAGCAGGCTCTGGCAGATTTCCGCTATGGCAAATGTCCAGTCCTGGTGGCAACCTCTGTAGCTGCCCGCGGTCTGGATATTCCAGATGTACAGCATGTGGTGAACTTTGACCTCCCCAACAACGTTGATGAATACGTCCACCGCATTGGGAGAACTGGCCGCTGCGGAAACATTGGGAGGGCGGTGTCTTTCTATGACCCCGACACTGATGGCCAGTTGGCCCGCTCCCTTGTCACAGTCCTGTCCAAGGTAAGAGCCGTCAGCTTTATCACACACATGGGTGTTGGGCCTTTTATTAGTAATTAACATTACAGGAAGTACTCAAAGCACAGTGAGTGTTGGCCTTCATGGTGTCATGTGTGTGTTGACTGGGATGGACAGGCCCAGCAGGAAGTGCCCTCGTGGTTGGAGGAGTCTGCGCTCAGCAGTGGTGGACCTGCAGGTTTCAACTCCCCCAGGAAGGGATTTGCCTTGACAGACTCCAGGAAGGTAACTGCATTGTTTGTTTTATTCCTCTGAAATGTTGGTGATGTCGGTGTCTGTCCTCACACTGTCCTCTGTCCCATCACGTGTCCTCAGGGAGGATCTTTCCAAGAGAAAGATGTGAGGGGCCAGCCGGCTGCTCAGCCTGCAGAGGAGGAAGAAGAATGGGAGTAGAGCAAATGTTAAAGCAACAAACAGCATTGACTTGAGTTATTTTTGTTTTAAGGTGTCTAGCTTGTTGTAGTTTTAGCAAAGAATTTCCGTTTGAAGACTAGACTAAGTTTAAAATTGTGAAATGTCAAAGTTTCAAGGTGTCCCAATTACAATTGTGTTGTGTTTTCAAGGATAAAAAATCTCAAATAAATACATATTTGTTCAAAGCAAAGCCTACTTTTATTGTCACGTGTTAAATTTAAGGCAGTCCAGTAGTTCTTATATTCCCAAAAGCATTTAATCCTTTGAAGTGAGTCCTCCCTGAAAGACCCAAAGTCCACTTTAGAAATGAAGTGTAAATGTGACGATTGTTAATGGCCATGGAGTGCTGATTTTAGAAAGATTGGGATTAATAGCAGTCTGAATTGATTCCAGTGAAGGAATCATATAGTATCGTCTATAGCTAGTATAAGAATGGAAGTCGAAATATGAGCCAAATGCAAGATGCCATCATCACTGTTTGAACAGTGTGATAGTTGGTCAGTGGGAACAGATTGTCCACCAATGACTCCAGACTGTCCAGTTCAGCTTTTCTAACCAGCTCACCAGAGCACCGGCTCCTACAGACTGACCTGAGATCTGCAGGAGCCTGTTTCACTCTGTAGGATCAGTGAAGAGGACCTATGTCGTATGAGCAGTGGCGGCTGGTCAATAGAAGGCAATGGGGCATGGCCCCACCTTGAGTCACACACAAAAAAAAAAAAATTATAATCACAAATTATACAAATTGTCTGTGTTTTTGAACTATGGAATGTACCCAGTAATGTGTAAAATATATCTGCACAAAATATATGCTTTTCCTGCTCGTCCTCTCCGCCTGCGTGCTCGTCTGCTCGTGCTCTCCGCCTGTGTGCACGACACGTCTCAGAATGCGCAGCTAGGGGGGCCAAATCATTTTGACCCCAAAGAGGCGGGTCTATGAAGCAGTTTAGCCAATTGCTGATTAAAGATATAAATGAGTGACATACAATTTAGCCAATCAGCGCCCTCAAATAGATTCAGTGTGGGGCCAAAAAGATTTTGCCCCCCTAGCTGCGCATTCTCGTCAGGAGAAGTGTCTACAGGCGAGCGCCAGCGCGAGCACTACTCCAAGTCTCGTTTGCAGGAGATTCTGCAGGCCAAAGAGCTGATCCCCAGATCAGCCTGACCCCACAATCAGACAGCAGACTAGCTGGAAAGGGAAGCAGTACATGCGAAGCTTCTCTACTGTACACCAGACAGGTTTGGCTAGCTGGATGACGTCATGCTAATAATTTATTTAGCTTTTTAAAACAACGGGGACAGATCCAGCACGGACAGTTGGGGAGTGAGGGATGAGGAGGTAAGGAGACATGAGAACACCAGGGTACACATGGAGAACTCTGTCAAGCTACATATTAGACAAAGTGAACATCTTTTCTTCTACATAGTTGTCCTCAGTCTCATCTGCTTAACTTGGTCATGGAGACATCAACATGTAATTGAGATGGTAAATTAACAGTGAGAATTCCATCCATCCGTTTTCCTCCGCTTATCCGGGGTCAGGTCGCGGTGGCAACAGGCCAAGCAGGCCGACCCAGACTTCCCTCTCACCGGCAACATGTTCCAGCTCATTCTGGGGGATCCTGAGGCGTTCCCAGGCCAGCTGGGAGATGTAATCCCTCCAGCGTGTTCTGGGTCTTCCCCGGGGTCTCTTCCCAGTTGGACGTGCCTGGAAAACCTCCAGTGGGAGGCGTCCAGGAGGCATCCTAATTAGATGCCCGAACCACCTCTGCTGACTCATTTCGACGCGAAGGAGTAGCGGCTCGACTCCAAGCTCCCTCCTGATGACCGAGCTCCTTACCCTATCTCTAAGGCTGAGCCCGGCCACCCTACGGAGGAAGCTCATTTCGGCCGCTTGTAGCCGCGACCTTGTCCTTTCGGTCACGACCCAGAGTTCGTGACCATAGGTGAGGGTAGGAACGTAGACCGAGTGGTAAATTGAGAGCTTTGCCTTCCGGCTCAGCTCCCTCTTCACCAAGACGGTCCGGTGCAGCGCCTGCTTTACTGCTGCAGCCGCACCGATCCGTCTGTCGATCTCCCGCTCCATCTTACCCTCACTCGTGAACAAGACCCCAAGATACTTGAACTCCTTCGCTTGAGGTAGGCACTCCGTCCCCACCTGGAGGGAGCAATCCACAGAGGCGATCCCGAGACCCCCGAACCTGCGTTCTCCACCCCCAGGCTGCGCCTAGATATCCTGTCCATGAAAGTCACAAACAGGACCGGAGACAAAGGGCAGCCCTGGCGGAGGCCAACACCCACCGGGAACGTGTCTGACTTATTGCCGAGAATGCGGACACAGCTCCTACTGCAGTCGTACAGAGACCGGATCGCCCGTTGTAATGGGTCCGGCACCCAATACTCCCGCAGCACCCTCCACAAGAACCCCCGAGGGACCCGGTCGAAAGCCCTCTCCAAGTCCACAAAGCACATGTAGGCTGGTTGGGCAAACTCCCAGAACCCCTCCAGTAGTCTTGCGAGGGTAAAGAGCTGGTCCACTGTTCCACGGCCGGGACGGAATCCGCATTGCTCCTCTTGTATCTGAGGTTCGACAAACGGTCGGAGCCTCCTTTCCAGCACCTTGGCATAAGCCTTCCCCGGGAGGCTGAGTAGTGTGATACCCCGGTAATTCGAGCACACTCTCCGGTCCCCCTTTTTGAAAATGGGAACCACCACCCCAGTCTGCCAGTCCATGGGCACTGATCCCGACCCCCATGCGACATTGAAGAGGCGTGTCAGCCAGGACAGCCCAACTATGTCCAGCGCTTTCAGCATGTCAGGGCAGATCTCATCCACCCCCGGCGCCTTGTCACCAAGGAGCTTTTTGACTACCTCAGCAACCTCTGCCAGGGATATGGGTGAGCCTCCCCCTAGATCTTCAGGCGCTGCCTCCTCTGCAGAGGACATGTTGGTCGGGTTTAGGAGTTCCTCAAAGTGCTCTTTCCACCGCCCGACGATGTCCCCTGTCCGGGTCAGCATTCCCCCCCCCTGCTGAGAACAGCCTGGGGTAAGCCCTGCTTTCCCTTCCTGATCCGTCGGATGGTTTGCCAGAACCTCCTTGAGGCCAACCGAAAGTCCTTCTCCATGGCCTCCCCGAACTCCTCCCATGCCCGAGTTTTAGCATTCGCGACCACCGCAGCTGCAGCCCTTCTGGCCTGCCGGTACCTGTCAGCTGCTTCGGGAGACCCCTGGGCCAACCAGGCCTTGAAGGTCTCCTTCTTCAGCTTGACGGCTTCCCTCACCTCCGGTGTCCACCACCGGGTTCTCGGGTTGCCGCCACGACAGGCACCGATGACCTTCCGGCCACAGCTCCTAGCGGCCGCGTCCACAATAGAGGCTTTGAACATGGTCCATTCGGATTCCATGTCCCCAACCTCCCTCGGGATGTGTGAGAAGTTCTTCCGGAGGTGGGAGTTAAAGACCTCCCGGACAGGGTCTTCCGCCAGACGTTCCCAGTTCACCCTCACTACACGTTTGGGCTTGCCGGGTCTTTCCAACCGGTTCCCCTGCCATCTGATCCAACTCACCACCAGGTGGTGATCAGTTGACAGCTCTGCTCCTCTCTTCACCCGAGTGTCCAAGACATACGGCCGCAAATCAAATGATACGATTACAAAGTCGATCATTGATCTCCGGCCTAAGGTGTTCTGGTACCAGGTACACTTATGAGCCACCTTATGTTCGAACATGGTGTTCGTTATGGCCAAACCATGGCACGCACAGAAGTCCAATAACAAAACACCATTCGGGTTCAGATCGGGCAAGCCGTTCCCTCCCAATCACCCCCCGCAAGGTTTCTCCGTCATTGCCCATGTGAGCGTTGAAGTCCCCCAGGAGAACTATGGAGTCGGTAGGAGGCGCCCTTTCCAGGACCCCTCCCACCGAGTCCAAGAAGGCCGGATACTCTGAACTGCTGTTTGGTGCATAAGCACAAACCACAGTCAGAGCCTTGCTCCCCGCAACCCATAGGTGCATGGAGGCGACCCTCTCGTTCTCCGGGGAGAACTCCAACACAGCGACGCTCAGCCGGGGGCTCGTGAGTATCCCCACTCCCGCCCGGCGCCTCTCACCCTGGGCAACTCCGGAAAAGGACAAAGCCCAACCCCTCTCCAGGAGCTTGGTTCCAGAGCCAGCGCTGTGTGTGTGGAGGTGAGTCCAACTATATCTAGCTGGTACCGCTCCACCTCCTGCTCTGGCTCTTTCCCCGCTAGCGAGGTGACGTTCCACGTCCCTAGAGCTAGTCTATGCTGCCAGCGATCGGCTCGCCCAGGCCTCCCGCCTGACCCGCCGCCCGGTCTGCATTGCACCCGACCCCGATGCTTATCCCTGCGGGTGGTGGGTCCACAGGGTGGCTGCTCCATGCTGTTTATTCGGGCTGAGCCCGACCGGGCCCCATGGGCGAAGGCCCGGCCACCAGATGCTCGCCGACGAGCTCCCCTCCTGGGTCTGGCTCCGGGAGGGTTCCCCGGTTTGCCTGGTCCGGGCGAGGTGACTGAAGTCCGTGGGCTGCTTTTCATTGGGGTCGTTTTGAACTGCTGAGTGAAAACTCATCATAGCTTAATTTAACATGAGTATTCATAATTACACTTCAGGTTTACTTCTCCTGATCTTTACCTCCTATAACAAGGTCCATAGGGGCATCTCAATAAATAAACATGTTATATTATATAAGTGTTATTTGCTGCTTTTTTTCGTGTTGGAATAAATGTTAAATATTTAACTGCAAAGTAGTAATGCGTGTTTGATACTTTAATTTTTTTTGCATTAAATCATACTGGGATGTTTGCTGAAATTGATAGGATGGCCCTACCTAGAAAATTTTCCACCACAGCCACAGCCACAGCCGATCCAGGCCGGGTGCAGTTACATGGCCAGTGTTTTTCCCATGGTGTTAAAGGTACTACAGAAGTCAAAAAACATGGGCACAAGTCTCTTACTGGATATCAACTGGAAGATCTGAGTATACCAGAAAATTTATTTTTTCACGATAGAAAGTATTTGTTGAATTGGATACAAGTAAAGTCAAAGAGCAAAAACACTTTGTTCAAAATGTATGGTCATTTCCATTATTAGTGCACATGTGTGCAGATACAAACTCCAACATACGGCTCTACAGCTGTTAAAGCGGACTGACTGCTGACCCAACTGTCCTCAGAAACGGTGAAAATAGAAGACAGGTTTATTGTTCTTCATGAGACAAGTACCGATGCTGCTGCAGATCAGTAACGGGTGAACTGACATCTCAATAAATGGTCCACAGGGATCAGCTGTTGTGAACATTTGTTTAGTAATGACAGACCTTAATAAGGAGCAGCTTGTTAGTGGTTGGTGACCAGCAACATACTTTGATCATGTCCTCTCACTGTGTGTCTGGACACCTACCAGAAAGTTACTGTTTGAAGGAACTGTTGTATTGATTTTCAGCTCTAAATCGTTGCAATGTATTTTCTAATTAAGGATACCTTTTCACAAATTGTCATTTTTCTTTTTACCTGATTCATTTTCTGCACAGACAAACTGTTGCTTTAAAGTCAAGTCTCTTGGTGTACGTCTCTGTAGTTTGGAGGAATTCTGTGAGGTCCAACTCTTACCACAGCAACGTCTGTGACAACATGGACGTGGATTCTTTTCTTACTCTTTACTTCAGACCTCCTCCCCCTCCACGCACCAACTCGTTGCCTCAGGTCCGCCGGTGCAAACACTCTGAAGACCATCAGGACCAAGCGCCGGACCTGGGGTGACGGGGCCTTCTCAGCTGCTGCACCTCCCCTCTGGAACGCCCTCCCCATCCACATCCGTGAGGCTGCCTCCCTATCATCATTCAAACAAGCCCTCAAAACCCACCTCTTCAACCTCGCCTTCACCTGCTAACCCCTGCACCCTACCCTCCACCTGCTAACCCCTGCACCCTACCCTCCACCTGCTAACCCATGCACCCTACCCTCCACCTGTTAACCCCTGCACCCTACCCTCCCATTCCGCACAGCTTCTCCAGTTATTCTTTTTTTATTCTTTTTTTTTTTTTACCAAAATGTTCTGTTTGTTTGCTCCTCTTTCTTTTTTTTGTTTTGTTTTTGTTCTGTTTGTCTTTGCCCTGTAAAGCGTCTTTGGGTATTTTGAAAAGCGCTATAGAAAATCGATTTATTATTATTATTACTTGCAGTGAGAAAATACTGCTCAGAAGTGTGTTATAGTATCAAACAATATCTTATAAGCTCATACAGTGCTGTCACTTTACTTCAGGCTGTCATGCTATTGTCTGTTATTGATGTTTTTAAGAGATTATTCAATGGCAGAGATATAGAGTTTATAATCTGATACTTTGTAACGGGCTACGGTTATGGTAGTTATGCTGAACTTATTATTGTATGGAACATAGTTACAATGAAGCATGTTTTAGGTGTGTGCAGATACATGGTCTATATCCTGATACAAGAACAATGGAGACACATCTGGTACAAGCCATGAACTGTTCTTCAAAGCTGACAGAACATGTACACTTGTCCTGCAAATGTTAACATGCTCTCATGTCAGACTTACGTGGTAAACATATCTGCACAGCATTGCTGTGGCTACAGCCTCAGTGTAGCATGTTAGCATAGCTGCTTTTTCATATGAAGGGCTGACATCTGTAATCTTATTCCATCCATACAGGCCAACATGCATAGCAACATTTAGATATGTTAGAGAGGTGCTACTGTTGGAGAAGGACATGCTGGTGTGTCCTCTGTTGATGTCGTCGCAGCGTCTCTCGGCCAGAAGACGTTTGGATGTGAGGGAGAACTCAGGTCCTGTGAAGTCTCTGTTCACTGCAAAACCACCACTGTTTTCCTCTTTAGAAGAATCAAACTTCACAAGTACTTCCACTGTGGCATTTAGTCCTGTTAATAATACTTTATTTATAGAACACTTTTCCTGCAAAGTTTCCAAGAACAAACAGCAAATAAGACCAATGGTAAATGGACAGCGCTGTTCTAGTCTCTGGACCACTCCCATATGGATCTCATCCCACCTCAGTACAGCCACTGTGAGTAGGTTCAGGTCTACATGGGGGTCCTGAAGGCTGCTGTGTCTGAGGAGTATATGTGTGTGATGTTTCAGTACACACTGACATTTCACAGTCACTCATATGAAACGCATTGAGGTCTTTCAACTCTGTTTCCGAGAAGTCCCGTTTTGCTGCTGACAGGTCTAAATACTACAATACCCATGAGCCTTTGCTGTAGGGACAGGAAGCTCGTGAGTGGAACGAAGTACTCCTTTACTCAATAGCCTACTATATACTTGAGTACAAATACAAGGTGTACTTGTAGGCCTACTTTACTTGAGTATTCACATTATATACGACTTTGTATTTTTACTCCACACATGTCTGATTGAGCTGTTCATATCCTTCCAAGTACAGTACAGTTCTGTGTTTAAATGCAGCGCAGCATAGAGCTGTTCCTTTGTGTGCTACATAGACTCTTTAAGCAGGACTTCTATTTAGAATGGACTATTTTACTCTTGGCTACTTAATGAACGAGTATGCTGGTTGTTTTCCCGCCTCTGTCGTCTCCATTACAACGGTTAGTGCTCATAACATTACATTGTATTTTTCGGGGTCATGAAGTCCCGCCCATCGCTTTCATAGTCATTTTGATTGGTCAGCTTCCTGTTGTCCGTTTCAAACCAGCGGAAGCTGCAGAAAAGAAACGTAGCCGCACGGGAAGGAAATCGTCGTAAACATATCTGATGTAGAAATCGGTTTGACAGCACAGAGCAAAAGCTGCGGTAGTTCAGCATGAAAGGAACCGCCAAAAGCAAGGTAAGACCGTGGTCTCCGGGTCCCAGTCTTTAAGTAAGACCACGGTCCCTCCGGGTCCCAGTCTCTGGGTAAGACCGAAATCTCTAAGTAAGACCGCCTCAAGTCAAACACCCACAACCTAAAGCTAACTAGCTGTGTGTCCACGGCTCTGGCTCTGTAACGTTAGCTTGACTGTGACTGCTGCTGTCTGCGTGAATACATCTACATGGGATACCTGGGAGACATGGGTTACGTCACCGTGACGTCGCTTTGATGGAGTCCCAGTTTTACTGCCAGCTCTAGCTTTATTGATGGTGTTGCTTAGTAAAGAGCAGGACTGTAGTTTAGTGCTTCAGCTATGAAACATGCTGACGTTTATGTTATTAACATTTAAATAATGGAGGAGTGTTGACATGCTGCCTGTGACCTGCAGGTGGTGACATCAGGGAGGCTGACAGGAGGAGTCAAAGGACAGCGGTCCAGGAGACGGTGAGTCCACTGGCCTTTACTCCCCTTACTACTGTATACACTGCACCGCCCCATTCTCACACTGGGCTCCTCTACCTGTGGTGATAGAGGGACTCCAGATCCAGGACCAGCAGCCTGCCCCGGACCAGCCTACTCTCTGTACTCCACATCCACAGACTCTGAAGAGCAGGTAATGTTAAACTGTGCAATTGATGAGTCATGATGAAGAACCAAAGATGACATTTCTGACATTTCAAATCCAGATGGGAGATGATGTCATCTGTATGATGTCATCTGAAGAGTTCCGCCCCAATACAACATGTATTATATTCCATAATATAGCTGCACACTTCCATGACTTCCATTCACTGAAAACACACACACACACACCTGACATTTGACATGGGTTGCCTAAGCACAATTCTGATTATGAAATACATAATGAAGTACACGAATAAGATAAACACAAACAAAATACAATATCTATATTCTAAACACAAATCTCATCAGGTTTATTTGTCCTACTCAGTAGAGCGGGTAGTGAAATGCTTTAATGCCGAGCTCAGCGAGGAACAAAGAGGTCACAGGAGCTGGATGGAGGTCAAACTGAAAGCTAGCACACCTGAGATGCCCCGAGTCCTCAGGTGCTGTAGGTCACAGTGTCTGTGTAAACTGTGATGGATGTGTACACTGAAAGTCATCAGCATCATGTTAATCTCTATGAACACATTCTGGAAGCAACGGGACCACATTTAGGTATCGGCAGCATTCTGGTTTTATTGGTTTAAAATGAGCGTTAAACTGGATCACCTCCAGTCTCTCATCTCTAGTTGCTAATCGGACCGTAAACAACGAGCAGCTCACAGAACAGGAAGTCTCGGCCCAGATGTCTGCTGGTTCCACCACAACACCAGGGATGTATTGAGAGGCTCCTCGTGGTCCTCATAGGTTGGCGTCCTGTATCGTCATGTAGACTCCACGTGATGCAAGTGTTGTGTCCCCTCAGGTCTCTTCTCTCCATGAAGGTCTGGACCAGTGTGCTGCCTTGCTCACTGACATCCTTCAGGCAGAAAAGGCAGGTCAGATGACTTTCCTAAATGCATGTAATCATGTAATCATACATGCCTTTTGGTACTGTGATCAAGTTCTAAAGACTTTTCACCAATAGGAACATCAGATTTTTTCAGGATTAGTAAATTAAAAGCTCATATTGCACACCTGGAAAAAGTGTGTGTGTGTGTGTGTGTGTGTGGCCTTCCCACAGCAGTGAAGGGTGGAGCAGCTAAATCGACACCATGTAGCTCACTCTGGAAGAAAACCATCAGGAACACAAAGACAGGTGTGTTTATGTTATTATCATATAGTTTCGCTGCTAAACTGTTGCAGCAGTGAAGTCTTTTTAACAGCAGGGACTGTGTCTCCACAACAAACGAATACAACAAATATTTTGTTCAATACAACAAATACAAGTTCATTTGAGTCCAGAAAACCCAGTAACGGTGAATTACTAAGATGTGGGCGGCTGTGGCTCAGGGTGTAGAGCGGTCGCCCACTAACGGGTGTGTCAGTGTCCTTGGACAAGATACTGTGAATAGAATCCTAATCTAACCTGGAGCTCTGTACTTTGTCTCCAAGTGTTCCCACTCATTCTGTTGGTCCAATAGTAAATGACGCACTGATCAATCCTAGCTGCAGCAACCTCATGGTAACAGAGTCTCTGCTCCCCGGTTCAGAGGACAACAGGTCTCATATTCATGTTGCTGCAGCTCTCTGGAGATGTGAAGCTAAATCCTGGAACATTGCCGTCTCTGTAACAGGATGTGATGATCAATGGTGTTGATTGTAGCACTAAGGTCTAACAAGACCAGTACAGAGACAAGTCCTTTGTCTGATGCTATTAGAAAGTAATTTCACCAGTGCTGTCTCTGTGCTATGATCACTCTGAATCTTGACTGAAAGTCCTCAAATAAACTATACTAATATGTAGAAAGTCACACAACTGAGAGAGGAAGGGTGGGTTAGAGATCGGTCTATAGTTAGCCAACACCTCTGGATCAAGAGGGGGCTTCTTGTGTGCTAAGTTCCTGTTCACTTTTCCAGAGGAGCAATAGAAAGCATCCTGACTGGAACCACAGGGTTCGTACGGTCATGGAAAACCTGGAGAAGTCATGGAATTTTAAAATGGTTATTTCCAGGCCTGGAAAAGTCATGGAAAAAAATAAAATCCCAAAAGTCATGGAAATTTGTTATATTCATATTTCCATGTCGTTCATTTACGCTGAGTTGCCAGCCAGCGTTTCTCAGATTGGAGTGAGACGAGGAGAAAATGTGATGTGATCTTCGCAATAGAACATCTTTGATGTGTCGAGTCTTGGCCAATCAGCGTTCAGATGTCTACATCGTCTTCATTTCCCTCCGTTAAAGTTTGAGTTACGTTATGTACCGTTACCGTTCAGACTTGCTGGGTTAAGTTAACGTCCACAGCATGCGGAACTTTGTCGAATGTTAACGTTCGTCATTATCGCGATTTAGAAGGAAAAAACGTAGCGTGATGAAACATGCAGCCCCCCCCGTGTTCCGGTTCAGTTCACGCGGTCACTCATTAACGTTAAACCGGAACACCGGCGCATCTGGTTGCAGGTTGTTTTGTTTAACTCAAAGTAGGATGATTTCGTGGTCAAAATAACTTTCATGACCACGAAACATGAGGCCCAGATACTGATGAGATGATGAGGTCAAAGAGCTTCAGGAAGAGGATGCTGTTTGTGTAGCGCAGCTTGACGCAGGGCTGAGCTGTGAGTGGAGCTGGGCCTGGATAAAGGTGGAGGTCTAAACAGACGTGAGTACAGCTTCCCGCTGTCAGTGTTTTAAATACATTGATAAGGCAGGGTATGCTAAATGCAGCCTCTGCTCCAATGAGATGAACTACAGCAACAAGGGCTCACATGTCCTCTCATCACACTGACAGACATGTTCACTGTAATGACCACAGCCAGTGTACCAACAGTCCCAACAGTCCCACATTGCTCTCAAGAACCCTGAAGTAATGAGAGGGTTAAGGTGCCTGTACCTTCATTTCAGCAGGCTGCTAATGCAGAGGTGTGTATAGATCACAGCTATTATTTTACTCTTGATAAGTTACCGTAGCCAGAGTAGATTATCATTTTCATTTAAATAATTGAACTGGATTGAATGCATATTAATTGCAAATAGAAGATAGGCCACAATTCTAATGGCTGTACAGTAACAGTGGAAGTTAATATTAAGCCATACAGTAACAGGGTTCAATGAAAAATTTGCACTACAAAAGGGAAAGCAATATGTACACTAGCTGGATGCTGCTACCTACTAAAGCTCTTATTGATGTGTCAGTGTCAACCAGAGTATATTTATAAATGTTTATTCTTTTAATCAAACTATTGTCTCTCATTCGTTTGTGTCATTTAAGGTATACTGTATGCTTTGGAATTCTCATTGTTCGTTTAAATATGACATTTTCTCACTTTTTCATGTATACACCGAGATTTCACAAAATGTTTGGTCATGGAAATTTGGTTTAAAGTCATGGAAATCCATTGGTCAAAATGTGTATGAACCCTGGAACCATCACAAACTAGGATGGGATGTGTACGGCTCAGGACAGGATGGTTCTCCAGAGGGGGATTAAAAGCAGAACATCATTGGTACCGTCTACTAAGCTTCAGTGGTGCTGGTGAGAAGAGCTAAAGGATACTGAAAGACTAAACCCACCCAGACAACCTGCTCACCTGCTGCTCTCTGTAAGAGATGCAGCAGTATCAGCTGATGAACCAGCACACTTCAGAACAGCTTCTCTCCTCTGGCTGTGACACTCCTGAACTCATCCTCCACATTAAATAGAGTTGTGTTTGTTGCTTTTTAGGGACGGACTAAAGTTAGCATATTCTTTATATTGAGACATGATATTGAATTAAATACAGATGGAATCGCTTTTTTAAATTTAGCTAGTGTAGAAACTTTTGACAAGTACTAAAGCTATCATTATGGACATCCATATGAATAATAAAGTCACCTACAATACTGACTTTATCTGTTTTAAAGACTAGATAAGAACTCTGACCTTGGGCCCGGTACACTACAACAAACAGAACTGGCTGTATTGTTTTCCAGCTTGGGTGTGAAAGACTTAAGAACCAGGCTTTCAAATGAGTTATAATTTAGTTTAGGTTTAGGGTTTCATAATAGGCTCGAGTCAAAGATGGCTGCTACTCCATCTCCTCTGTGCCTCAAGGAATGTGAGTATTAATATGACTCTGGGGAGCAGACGCTGTCTCATCTTACAGGAAGTTACAGCTCAAATGTCTCAGTCCTCTTTTCCACATTCTATTGATGGCTGTTCCCTTCATCCTCCAGAACAGAGAGGGTGGCAGCCTGGACCAGGTTCCACAACCCGCCATCCTGCTGTGAAGACCTCCACCCATCCACCTGAGAAACGGACCTCTATCCATCCACCTGAGAAACGGACCTCTATCCATCCACCTGAGAAACGGACCTCTATCCATCCACCTGAGAAACGGACCTCCACCCATCCCCCTCAGACCTCCACCCATCTACTTGAGAAACAGACCTCCATCCATCCACCTGAGAAACAGACCTCCACCCATCCCCCCCAGACCTCCACCCATCCACCTGAGAAACAGACCTCCACCCAGACCTCCACCCATCCACTTGAGAAACAGACCTCCATCCATCCACCTGAGAAGCAGACCTCCACCCATCCGCCTCAGACCTCCACCCATCCACCTGAGAAACAGACCTCCACCCATCCACCTGAGAAACAGACCTCCACCCATCCACCCCAGACCTCCATCCATCCACTTGAGAAACACACCTCCACCCATCCACCCCAGACCTCCATCTTTCCTGGCCGTCCCCAGACCTCCATCTCAATCTCATACTGTGAGGCAGAGTGTGATAGGGAAGAGGAGGAGTTTGTTCCTGTGAGAGACATCGATGTCCAAAGCTCAGCTGTCAGACCGATGTGGACCATGAAGATGTCCAACATGCAGCTAGAGCTTGGACAGGTTGATAAAGTCCCTCAGGACTGCAGTGCAGAGACAGACAGGAAAGGGAAGACAGTTCAGTACCTGCTTGGAGAACTCAAGGCTCTGATTGCTGGACAAGGTAACCTGTCTGTCACTCCACAATATATGGACACAGTCATTTATCAGGTGTCCTCTTCAGGATATCACACATTCTATACAGAGTAGTACATTCTCTCATGTTACCATGGCAGTAGTGAACTTTGACCCTGGGGTGGACAGCTATAGACAAAGTGTGAAGTGATTCACAATCCAGACAGAATGGAAACATCTGCTTTTTGTTTTCATGCAGTTTTGAAGTGTCTGTTCTTCTGTGTGTGTGTGTGTGTGTGTGTGTGTGTGTGTGTGTGTGTGTGTGT